CATTCTTCCATTTTTGATTCGATTCTTTCATGATGATTGTTTCCAGGGGCGGAACACAAGCACTACAACTAGGGGGCCGGAATTAAGGGCGGAACACAAGCACTACAACTAGGGGGGCCGGAATTAAGACTTCATAATTAAAATATATAAACAAATTTTATTTACTTCAAAATTATGACATATCAAAAGTTTAAACAAGAAAACTAATATAAAGATTGTTAAATCGTTTATCAAAGTGGAACACGACGATCTTTTGCTTTTTTAAAATCTTCTACAATTGTCTCTAAACTAATATTTTCAGCAAGTTTCCTTTCGAAGTGCAAAACCAATGAGTCATTCAAAAACTCGTCTTCCATTTTATTCAGTAACCTTGTTTTAATGAGGTTCATTGCTGAAAATGATCTCTATGTTGTTGCAGTAGAAACTAGAAGAGTAAGTATGAGACTAACTACTCGATAAATAAGATGAAAGTTCGCTACTCTTCTAGTCTTTATCAACCATTGACACAATTCAGAATCTTGAGCGAAACTTAAGTGTTTTCTTTTAAAAAATCCATCAATAGTTGGTTGTTTTTTCATGTTGATATCTACTACACAACCAAATTTAATAACAATCAACAAATATCAATATAAAATAGCAATAAATCATCAAAATTATATACAAATAAATCATCAATTTACCTAATAAGTATAAAGTAAAATATATATAGTTTTGTATATTATAATGAAAAAATTGCAAAATGGTTCCTGTGGTATGCATTTTTTTGGGGTTTCAGTCCAAACCTCGATTTTTTTTGGATTCATGGTCCTTTTGACCTAGTTTGTATGTAAAATTGGTCCCCCGACTTAATTTCCGTTAAGTTGTTGCTATTAACCCCCTCATGTGACTCCCACATGAGGGTATATTTGTCTTTTCACTTCTAAGGGACCATTTTTGCATCTAAAAATATATCCTCTTTATTTTTAAAAAAATTAATACCTATTTATTTATTTTAATAATTAAAAAATAAAAAGGTCTCTCTCTCTCTCTCTCTCTCTCTCTCTCTCCCTCCCTCCTAAAAAGAAAACACACAATTACTCAAGCCCCTAACACTTCTTCCTTGTTGTGTTCATGTTTTGGAGAAGAAATCGATCCCACCACCATCATCAAACCTATAAGCCAACTGGGTACTCAATTTTTGTTGAAGTTCAGCAAGCGATACCCACCCAAGAACATGATTTCAATCTACTTCCTCCATTTCCATTGAAGATATAATAAAACCATCTGATTGTCTTCTTTTATTCACAACCAGTTGTTCTTGACAACAATTTGTGCCACTGACCGAGTGTCTTCTTCCTTCTAACCATCCAAGGTTGAGTTTGTAATTCATGGGTTCGGAGACTTGTGATTCTTCATCTAAAACATGCCATTTTTTCCACTTTTTAATCGAACTTAATCTCTTTTGAGTGCTACCATGTTCAGAAGTTTCATCACTTGATACAGAAGGATTAATCCATTCAACAGAAGTTGGGCTTGAAGATATATCAGAAGTAAAAAAAAGTCGAATTTTGAAGCTCGTTTTTGAGACAGGGATTGACCCATCTAAGATAAACAAGCTCCTCGACTTCGTTCAATCGATTTACGTGTAGATCTTCAACTTGTTTGAATAAATCTTCGTTTGTTTGTCGTAATATGGATGCTTCAGATTTGATCTTTTGGATAAATTCATTCTGTCAATCGTTAAAAGTTAAACCAAAAAATAAATTGTAAGAAATTTAATGAAGTAAGAATTTGGAAGAGGTTATGCACCTCAGAATCTTTTGCTAAGGAAACTAGCTGAGACTCCATTGATGAAATCCTGCAACAGAGACTTCTCTTTTGAAGATGAAGCTCAACATTCGGTCGTCTTAATTAAAGAACATCTACCTCGACATTGTTAACGACTCCCTTCGCTAGATTTTATTGTAACTGATGAGAATTCAACTGTTCAGAGAGACTAGTGTTTTCTGATTCTGGCAAATCGATTTTGCTTTTATGAGAATCGATTTCACTCCAAGGGTAGGAGATGGGTACGTGGCAACGAACTTGACTGTCTTCATCGTAACGATTTCATAGAGAGCTTGACTGGGTCCAAGATTCAAACTCAACAAGAAACCACACGAATCCGAACAAGACAAATTCTGTGATGGCGAGATGAATACCAGGGTTGGAGATGAAGGTGGTGTATGGCGGTGGTTTGTGTGATATGCTTGAAAGATGAAGACGTTGAAGATGATGAAAATGGACTTGAAGGTTTGTGGCAGGGAAATGGTGTGTAATGTGTGTGTTTCTTCAGGTTTACCACAAAACAAGAGAGAGAGAGAGAGAGAGAGAGAGAGAGACCTTTTTATTTTTTAATTATTAAAATAAATAAATAGGTATTAATTTTTTTTAAAATAAAGAGGATATATTTTTTTAGATGCAAAAATGGTCCTTTAGAAGTGAAAAGACAAATATACCCTCATGTGGGAGGCACATGAGGGGGTTAACAGCAACAACTTAACGGAAGTTAAGTTGGGGGACCAATTTTACATACAAACTAGGTCAAAAGAACCATTATCCAAAAAAATCGAGGTTTGGACTGAAACCCTAAAAAAATGCATACCACAGGAACCATTTTTGCAATTTTGTCTATTATAATTCATCTATTCAATATGTACGAATCTATGCAAATAAACAGATACTTTAGAACTAATAATAAAACTAATAAATATAAAGTAATGGATATATACTTTTACATATTTTAATTGAATATATACCATATGTCATAATGTGAGAGAAGTGTGTAGTCATAATTCATAATAAAGGCTCTGCAAGAGTGCAACTCACAATTTCTACTTTTCGCCTAGACACTACTCCCTAGTGAGAGAAAACAAATTAATAGATATATAAAGAAAAACAAAGGAACAAAACTATGTACCGGATAATGAGATAGAGAACAAAGACCACCAGCGGAGTAGTGAAGAACACCCAACCGCACGACGGTCGGCGGATGGCGGAGACCAAGTTTCAACAAACAAATGTCAACGGCTCCGGCGACTAGCGAATAGGAGAAAGAGCGTATGATACCAATGACGTGAACAATTCGGCGACCGGAAAAGAGTACACAACAGCAATGGTCTTAATGGGAGACGATCGGGTTAGTTACGAGAAAAAGTATTCTGGAGGCCGGAATAAACTTTTGATTTAGTTTAAGCTTTTTAGTTTTCTTAACTCAAACTTGGACTAAATTGTTGTAATCTTGATTAGATCGTGTCTATAGAATTTAATACATATTAAGTTTTCTTATTTTATAGAAACCTAAATAAACAAGGTTGTTTTGATTTCGTTTGTGATCTTCCGAAAATTTTGTTACCGGGTATTTCTATCTATATTATATCACATGATCTGGAAACCGGGGGGCAAAGATGTCATTCTACTATTTTTTTTATTGAATATCAGATTGATGGGTATCTACAGGTATTAGAAATACCAAAAAGCGGGGAGGCCATGCCCTCCCCTCCCCTGGCCTAAGACGGCCCGCCACTGATTGTTTCCATCGTTGATTGGGAGGGGTTTTAAGAGTGGGAGGGGGTAAAGTAGAAAGCAGAGGAAAGGGTAAGTAAAAGAAGTTGATGCGTACATATAGAGGACTAAAATCAAATTGATATGGATATTAACCAGATAGGTAAAAAAGGGACGAAAGAATATAGTAGTTAAGATTAATCAGGCACAATCATGAAAAATGTTCAAATGATGGACAATTTCAGTAAAGATTAGGGAGCATTTTTATAATTTACTTTTATTACAATAATAAAGTCACTATATAATATTTTTAATTAAATAGAATTTTTGTGGCATATTACAACAATATACAACATGTCACTAATAATTATAAATTATGAATATTAATGACATAAAATGTTAAGTGCCATTAAATTCATTAATTTTTTAGTGGCACATAAAATTTGTCACTAAAAATATGATATAGACATATAGTGGCACATCAAACATATGTCACTAAAAATGTATGCCACACTAAATGACAATTTGTTTGTAGTGATATCACACCAGTAATAAATACGTACATGTGTTTCCTACGTATATTTTTTTCATTACGTAACTCTTAGGGAGAACAGAATGGTAGCGGTTTTGTTGAGCGGCTTTGACCAGCAAGGAGAAGAGGGAGCACCGGGAGGAGAGCAAGATAGAAAGAGAGGGTGTTGAGCGGGTTCAAGAAACCACTGGATGATTGAATCACAGAAGAAAAATAGGGAAGATGGGTTGGGAGGGATGCGGTTTATGCGGGTTCGACTCCCTCCACAAAGGGTTTGGCGGGTAGCGGGAAGGATGGGGACGATTCCGTCCTCCCTTATAGGCAAAATTCTTGCCATCAAGCTGTGTACTAATATAGCCAGAAGAGAATAATCTTTTGTAACCATAATACCAATAATCAATTGAAACAAATACTTTGTACATAACAAAAACCAACATCCAAAAAGTAAAACCAACAACAAACGACAACAACAATGAAAGTTAGATATACGAGATCAAAAACGTACCCAACAAAAACGAGATCCAAACCAAATATAAAATAAACAGTTTGAAAAAAAAATACAACTAGGGTTTATTTTTAATATTGAAAGGAAAAAAATATATTACAATGGAAGGGAAAGATAACTAAAAAACCATCTAGGTTAACATAACTAAAAAACCTATCTAGGTCAACATAAATATAAGCCCAATACATAATTAGTCCAATATATCTTATGCTAATAATATGAAAAGCAAAATACATAAGTAGTCCAATATATCTTATCTTATTATGCTAATAGGATATGAACACCAATGTTACTGAGTACATATATTGATGATACTTACGAATAGCCTGCATAAGGATTAAGGAATATCACAATGATAGCAATGCAACAAAACAAATGTAGTTTAATCACTTGGATTATTATTGATGGGGAAGGAATGTAACTATTTATCGCTAAACATCTTTATTGTATTTCTCCTAAGTTTTCTAACATATCTTCAACCAATTTTCCTAGTGTAACCAACGAAGATCCGCCTTTTATAAAAGCCTTCCTGCTTTCCTCACTTATCTTCTTCACTCTCTCCCTCATTGGATTGGTATCATCCATCAAACAATTTATCGCTGTTTTTATCTGATCTGCCATCACTATCTCGCTCCGACTGCTTCTGTATGCCAAACTCAATTCCACAGCCAATCCCAACTCCCTCACCATATAAAAAGCATTCATTTGTTGTTCTGCATTCAATGGCCAAGTTGCTATCGGGACTCCATACCACAAGCTCTCCAAGATGGAGTTCCATCCACAGTGAGACACAAACCCTTTAATGGCTTCATGAGCTAGCACTTCGACTTGTGGTGCCCAACCACAAACCATACCTCTATCTTTCACTCTTGCCAAAAACCCATTTGGTAGAACCTTTTCATAGCTCGTGTAGTCTGTTGGAGCCCCATGCATGCCTTCTGGTGGTGGCTGTCGCATTGACCACAAGAACCGATGATCACTCTTCTCAAGAGCCATAGCAATCTGCTCTATCTGGGGTTGCTTAAAACTCCCCATACTCCCGAAGCACAGGAAGATGACTGACTTTGAAGGTTGATTGTCGAGCCAGTTCTTGATCTCAGTCGATTCAGTTGACTTGTTATGGTTGATCTTGTGGTCAAGCAAAGGCCCAACTGGGTATACAGTGATCGGGTGGGATACCATTGAATTAACAGCGTATGGTTCGAGTTCAACAAATGAGTTTATGATAATTCCTTTGGATTCCTGAAACCTGGTGCCAAGATAAAGGAAAGTCTCATACCCACCACCAGGTTTATCTAATGCAGCACCTGGGAGCACATTCGCAGGAACAGGATTCTTGAGACATGGGATCACTGAATCAGGATCCGATGGGTTAAAGTTGAATTCACCTTTGTTGTTGCGCTCCGGCAGGTGGAGTAGAAATCCAAGAAAAACAGTGTTTGAAGAGAAGATGATGTATGAAGGGACTTTGAATGTGTTGGCGACATCGATCATACAACAACAGAACATATCAAGTACAAACCCAACAAGACGAGTTGAATCATCTGATAGCAACTCCATGACTGCTCGTTCGACATGAGATTTATGGCTCTCAATGAAGAGGCTAGCAAACTTTTCGAAGGCCATAGGTGAAGAAGGAGGTTGAGAAAGATGGTTAGTGGGAGGAATCATGGTGTATCTGATTCGAGCATCAGAAGCAGCAAGCGACTTTGTGTATGAACCAAGATCGGTTCCACCGAGGGGAGGGATAAGAAGGACTGTGATGGATAATCTTTCATCTTGATCAAGCAAATGCTTTGCGAGTTCTATGGTTGAGGTTAGGTGACCTAAAGCAGGTACAGGGACGAAAACAAGCTCTGATTTCTTCATATCTGTTATCTCTTGGATCTGATTAATTGACGTTCGATCTCGAAGAGGTAATCGGGAGTACAGAAGAAGCCTACTTTGAAAGAAGCTTTACTATGCGCGGGACAAAGCATTTTTTTTGTCGGTTGGTTTGCCACCACCACGAGAAACACGATTTACATCACAAAAAGCAATTTATTCAATTCAAACCCAATCAAAATAAGTTTTTTTTTTTATTTTTATTTTATTTTATATATTATCAAATAATAATTTAATTTTTTAAAACGATAAAAGATACAAAGAAAAATTTTCAATTTTTTATCCATATTGATTTGAAATCTTAAGTTTTCATCATTCAACCTAATTTATTAAATTATTAAAATAAAAGTAAGCAAAGAGTCGGTTGGGCAAATTATTAAACACCAACTGGTGTGGCAAAAGTAGCAAATGAGGTTTTTAATGTGGCTAAAGTAGTAAATGAAGGAAAAAATTGGCAGAAATAAGAATTGTCAAAGGTTTCTGTTCATTAACGATTAATAGTATATATAATATTATCATATAATGTAAGACTATTTAATTTAATTTATGAATTATTTAATTTATTAATTTAAAATTGATGTTAAATATAAAACATAAATAAAAAATATAAAATAAACTAAAAAAAATATTTTTAAAATAATTAAAAAGCTTCAATAAATTAAATATAAACCTAATTGGCATACAAAATTAACTAAAATATCTAAAAACTAACATATTATATATATATATATATATATATATATATATATATATATATATATATATATATATATATATATATATATATATATATATATAGTAACGTCCGGATCTCGAGGTACTTATTTTGCAATTAAAACTATCATTTTGAGATTATCACGACGTGGTGGAGGCACCACCATGACGTGGCGAGACGAAAATGAGTCGCGTGTTCATCCAAGTCACCACGACGTGGCAACATTGGCCACAACGTGGTGGTGGCTGGCATGCAAACTCTATTTTTTCGGGGTTTGCTCATTATTTAAAAAAATGATGAGGCTAGGGTTTGCTCATCCTCAGCCTCCATCAGTTCCCTCAAGCCCCAAAGAAACCCTAATCACTTTCCTCCATTATCGAGATAGTTTTGGTGTCCTTGAAGCTAAAGAAGGAAGAAGGAGGAAGTAGGAAGCAAAGATCAAGCAAGCAAGTCTCCATTCTTTACCCTAGCACTCTTCTAGACCTTCGTAAGTGTCCAAGACTCGATTTTTATCATGCTAGGTTGCTAGATCTTGAGTTTTGTCCTATTAACTTATTGTTCTTGTTTGTTGAGATTATGAGATCTCATAAAGTTTGCAACTTTATAAATCTCTGGGACATTTGGTGTATTTTGTGCCATGGATATGGAGTTTGGTTGGGTTTTTGATCCATGCATGGGATTAGGTCATAAAACCCTCATTTTTGACCTAATATGGGTTCAAGACATGCATTGGATATGCATGTCTATAAAGCACCAACTTTTAAGTTAGTTTTGGTGCTAGAATCACTTCTCGAAAGGATGAACTTCGAACTTTGTGGAATAAGTGCTTATGGATTAAGTTCTTGCCTTATTAAGTTTTTTGGGACATGGAGATTTGGGTTTTGGACCTTTTTGGGTGGTCCCAATGGATAAAGTTAGAAACTTTATCCTTCTAGATCACATTTTAGATCAGATATGAGCTTTGGAGCTCTTGGAATCGGTGAAAACAGCTTAATGTCTTAAGATGTTGGAAACCTCGACAACCACGACGTAGACCAAGGTCACCATGACGTGACGACTGGGATTTTCCCGCCTGGTTGGTCGTATGCGAACTACGGCGTCACCAAGGCAGACCACGTCGTGGCGGTCGGCTGGAGTCAACATCGACTGTTGACTTTGACCGTTGACCTTGGGACTTGACTTTTGACTTGTGGGTGTTGTTCAATTGTTAATGTCTTAGTAGAAAGATTAAGGTCTCACCTTGTGTGATTATCTAGGTGACATCTGTTGATAGATGTAAAGTGAAGCTTTAGCAATCCGAAGTCAAGCCATTCCGAAGTGAAGTGCAGTCCGAAATGAAGCTCTTCCGAAATGAAGACATGTCTGAGAAACACCTTGTATTCAGTGTTATTTGGAGTATGTATTTGAATTTAATGCTTCTTGTCTTTTAGTCTTTGTTTTGTTGTAAAGATCATGGGACAAGATCGAGAAAATTCTGTGTGTCAGCTTTTTGACTTTGCAACATTAGATAGTCAATGCAGTCTTTCTAGTTTGTCTCTTTATCACTCCTTGTCTATTTAAGGAGATGTAACTCTCATGCAAATGTAACAGCTAGAACACCATTCTCGTTCACATCAATACCAAGTATCTTTCAAGTCAAATCATTCTCTCTATCATTCTCACTGTTCTTAAAATCTATTTACATTGTTCATACTCATCTTCTCATCTTGAATACTTTGTTGAACTTCTTACATCAAGACAAGACTGGTTTACCAGACTTGACTGGACTCTTAATATTAGCAGCAGGCATTGATCTTAAGTTAATTCAAGGTTTGATTTTTCAAACCTTGTCCACGCACATATTCTTGCACTCTCAATTGGTATCAGAGCCTAAGTGGTCGTCCTTTGAATCCATAAGAACATATTATAGTTAATTTGAGATTACCTTGGTATCTCAATCATTTCTGTGTTCAGGATAAAAGTTCTTCTATATTCCACTTCAGCTCTAATACTTTAGCTTCAATGACTCCTCCTAATCCAACTCAACAAATGTATCCAATGAAAATAGAAAATAACATGGGTTGCCCAACGCGTGCCCCATTGCTAGTTGTTGAAGAGTATGATCACTGGAAAGTTAGAATGGAGAGATTTTTACTTGGTAAGGAAAAAGGTGAAGAGAGATGGAGATCTGTGAAAGAAGGTCCTCATTCTCTTTCACATCAATACCAAGTATCTTTCAAGTCAAATCATTCTCTCTATCATTCTCATTGTTCTTAAAATCTCTTTACATTGTTCATAATCATCTTCTCATCATGAATACTTTGTTGAACTTCTTACATCAAGACAAGACTGGTTTACCAGACTTGACTGGACTCTTAATATTAGCAGCATGCATTGATCTTAAGTTAATTCAAGGTTTGATTTTTCAAACCTTGTCCACGCACATATTCTTGCACTCTCAATTGGTATCAGAGCCTAAGTGGTTGTCCTTTGAATCCATAAGAACATATTATAGTTAATTTGAGATTACCTTTTTATCTCAATCATTTCTGTGTTCAGGATAAAAGTTCTTCTATATACCACTTCAGCTCTAATACTTTAGCTTCAATTACTCCTCCTAATCCAACTCAACAAATGTATCCAATGAAAATAGAAAATAACATGGGTTTCCCAACGCGTGCCCCATTGCTAGTTGTTGAAGAGTATGATCATTGGAAAGTTAGAATGGAGAGATTTTTACTTGGTAAGGAAAAAGGTGAAGAGATATGGAGATCTGTGAAAGAAGGTCCTCATGTTCTCGTAATACAAATGGTTAGAGATGCTGCTGCTACTCTCATGGGTCAAGAAGAACAATGTCCAACACCTCTAACTGCATCAGACCTCGAAAAGCTTCATGCAGATCAGATTGTGTTCTCGGAAATGGTGTTTGGTGTTCCTCTTTCTCTCTTTGAGCATATAAAATTTTGCAAATCTACTAAAGAGATTTGGGATAGACTTCAAGACTTATTCGAAGGTTCTGAGAACATGAAGGATAAGCGTTTGATATCCGTTGTAAACGACTTTGATACTTTCACTACAACTCTCGGTGAATCCGTAGCCTCTGCATCAAATCGGTACAGGATCGCTGTGAACACCATGACATCACATGGAATAGTCAGAACTCCACTTGAGTACAATCTGAAGTTCAACAACAGTATCGGAAAAGGATGGGGAAATGTTAAGTCATGTCTTCAGAGTAATGGTTTCTAAAGAAACTAAAGCTCTATCAGTTATTTTACGAACTGCAAGGCCATGAATCTAACGTTGCTCAAATGTTAAGAGAAATTTCAGGAGGTCCTCTTGCCTTAGTTAGTTCTGTTAACCTACTAATTCCGAACCCATCTGTTCCGGATCCTTTAGGAAATATCCCACCTGTTTCATATGATCAACCAACACTTCCTACTCCACATGTCCCACCTGTTCTGAACCATTCATTTGAAGAAAATCTTGATCTCGATTCAGCTGATTCGAACTTCATTTCCAATAAGAACTCACTCTTCTGTCCATGAAGTACAAACATCCCTGGAATCCCAATCATAAACCATTTCAAAAACGATTTCAAGCTCCTCATCAAAGCAATCCTCAACTTTTCCCTAAACCTACAGAAAATCCACCAGCATACCGACCAAACATTCCGAATCACTCCTCTAAACCTCAGGAAGTTCTGAAACTAGTCAAACCCAAGATTCTTAATTTGTCACAAATATGGTCTCAAAAACTGATGGGTTTTATGCAAAACAAATAAAATCCTAAGTGTGCATGCAACACTAAATTTTGATGTATGTTTTCTCTAAGGATATCTAGGCATTTTCGAAATCTAGAAAAAAGAAAGAAAAAATACCTTGAAGATTGCTATAGAAAACAATCTTCAATTCCTCCTTAAATAACTCCTGGAAGCAAGCACCACAAGTGTCGTGCCTCTAATGGTTCACACCCAAACCCTAGCAACCAAGGAGCTTGAAGAGAATGAGGAAAGAGGTGGAAATTTCGGCCCTAAACCTCTAAAGGAATGTCATGGCCGAAGTTATAAGGATAAGGGTCCTTATATAGCTAATGTAGCTTGGTGCCAAAGCTAGGGTTTAAGGAGGAAACCCTAATCCCTTTCCTTGGTGACCAAACAACCCATTCCCTTCCTTATGACACATAATTTTCGTCACCCATGGTCCAAAGCACCAGGTCTCGGAAGTGAGTTTGCGAAACCTTTTGTTTGTCTCTTGAAGGAACTTCAAAACCTAATGTTTATGGGAGACAT